TGAATTCCGTAATCTGATGTTACTCGCCTTCGTTTGACTATTTGTATAACTTAAGCTTTTTCTAAGCTAATTTCTGAATAAAATCAATCGCACGAAATTAATTCAGAGTATGAAATATTTCTTATCTCTCTCGGCTATAGTGCGATAAAAAACACTCTAATTGTAAGTGACAAAGGGAACGAACAGAGGATGACACGGTTTCCGCAATGACACAGCAACGCATAACGTGTCATCAAATCATGACAAACGGGATTCGCGTTCGCGATAGTCACCGTCTTACCCTTCTTATTCCCGTTTCAGTGTCAAGTAATATGTCAAAGTGTCCGGGACTTAATTCCCCAACAAGCGAAGCGTGATGACGGTTTTGGCGCGTCGAACATTCCTGGTAGTTGCATGTTTATACTGCGCTTTGATCACAAGCCATTCGAGGATACATCAAAAGGAAGACCGTCTGTTTCCTGCTTGTACGGCGTAAGCGTGAAGTACATTACGCTAAGTACGACATGACCAATGTAATGAATTACCAAGACAACGGTGTCGGTCTGGAACCCCTGATATTTGGAATGTCTGCTGCACAATAGGATAATGAGATGAATGAAGTTTAATATAATAAGTAGATAACTGCAATTTAACCCTTTCACTACGAGGGGCAATTATAATCGTTCGTTGCAATAAAAAAAATACGTGTTGTGATTCTTGGAATAATTTTTTAAATTTAAATTCACTAAGCAATAAAAGTGATTTTTCCAATTCAAGAAATATAAAAAAATAATGGAATTATCTGCATAATTATTATAGTGCAAATTATAATAGTTTACTATCGTACTCATAAAAACTTAAAGCAAGTTTCCTGAACTGTTGTTGAAACGTAACTGTGGCGAAGTGTATCGCGTGGTTGAAGGATTTCTCGAATGATATCCACTTTCGAAAAGCACTTTGCACTTCAAATTCAACCTATTCCCCTCGCTGCTGTTACACAACCACCTGTGCTGCCTCGACGCACCCTCGTCGTCGATCTCGCCCCTACTTTCGACCCTTGTCGTCGTGGCGTTCGTTGTCGTCCCCTCGTTTCCTCCACTTAAAAACCGGTAATTACTCTGATGCCAGTATTTAACGTTCGTATCGTCGTGTGGATTTTCTGTTTGCCAACGTTCAAACTATTGCTCGATTTCACCTTTTCTACCTCCGAAACACCTATTTTTGTTAGATCACTTCTAAGTCCATACAATCCGTGAAGCTGTTACAAGATTACCGAATAACACGATAACAGTTGTATCTGGAAACTTGAGTGGAACTTTGGGTAATTTGCATCGGTTGCTGAGACCCTATTAGGATGAAATTGGAGGAATTGTAGGGGGATCTGAATTAACAGAAAACAACTATCTCCTTGGGAATTTGAAGATCATTAAGGAAATGCAATCTACTGTAGTACATAAATTATTCAATTAAAACTATTGCAAACATGTTAAAATAATTAACATGCAGGGTATTCTAAATTTTTGGAGAAAATAACTAAAAGCCAGAAGAATGAAAAATTATATAATTTTGGTAAACTTAAACCAGAAAAGTATTTAGATCAACTTTTAACATCAGCAAACCAGTTCCAACACTAACAAATTTCTAATGTACTTTTAACATTTAAACAAAATGATTCAGAAATCAATTACAAGTGATATACCTTTCTAAAACAGATGTATCAATTTACAATCCATTCAAGTGATGTGTGTTGCATCTTTTCAGTAGAATCATCGGAAGAAACATTTCCCCCGCGCGAAATGAAAGGAAAAATTCCTATAGAACTAATATTTATGCGTGGATGATTCACAAGTTTCCTTGCTTCGTTCGATCATTCGAACAATATTTCCACCCCGGCAGAATGTTTCCATGCTAATTGAACAATCCGCGTGCAATTAAAAGGAACGCGGTGCGCAGTCCAATGCAAACTAAAAACGCAGTCGATGTCGGTGAAGAAATTTACAAAACATCTATCCTTCCGTTGCTTGAAATTCCTTTGTTATCAATGATTTCTGGGGAGCAAATGAAAAATAAGCTAAAACATCGCGATCAGCTGGACGAAATCGAGTTAGAAACATGGAGGGTGCGTTGTTTCGCAAATCATGTCACGCGAGAGTCGTAATGAATACATTAGTAGGGTAATAAACGGTACAAAGGGATTATGGTTCCGAATAAAGTTGATAACTGCTCAGAATAAATGAAATGAAAACGCCTTCAAGCAATAATTAAATTTTTGTCAACAGCTGACGAATCATTTAACGATCCAAATTTTCGTATTAAAATTCAGGTTACATAAATGTTGGAAATAAACCTTCGAAATTCTCGAAATCACTGAAATTTAATATTAGTATATCAAACGTCGGCTCAATGGAATTCGAAGTTGATTTTGCTGAAGTTAGAAAAGCAGGGAGAGAATCGCGTGAATGTTTGAGACTCTCGAGAGTCTCTCTGTAAAACGAACACGTTCCAGGTCTAAGGAGTCGCTGAGAAGCGTCGAGAGGGTAGCATTATTTATAGACGTGCCAATCTTCGTCCTGTCAATCATTCTCGCCATTCAGTATTAGCTGGTGTTCTCGTTCGCCTATGTCAAGAAACGAGGCAGAAATTCTCCGAAGTCACACGTGGCAGTGACGTCATCGGTATCCGTGAGAAGATTATTTTAGCTTCCTCGCTGAAAACGCGAGAAACAAGAGACTTCTGAAGATCGTCGATAAATCGGTGTTAGTTGGTGTGCTATTTAACATGCCCGAGGTTTGCGACCTTTCGACCATCTTGGATACCGATGCTTTTTACATCGATAAACTTCGCGGTTTTACCGACGACTGAATATCTTTACACTTTCCGTTTTGAACATCTTTATACGCTGGGCGTGTTCGAGCGTGTTGCACGCAATATTTCGTACTGAAACAGTCACGTCCAAAAGGCGCACGAATATTTGTCAACGCGAGCATGTACATGAACTTACAGTTATTTGTAACTTCTAGAATTAGAGAGGGTAAATTTTGAAGTAAGTTAAGAAATACTTATTCTATCTTTCGTCGCGGGTGAAATCCGAACCATCACTGGAGGCTAAGCAGCGCTAAGAAGGTGTGAGACGAAGGTCTTATTTGGTTGGGTGCTAATGACCCAACCGGGCCCTCGGATGGCGACGAATTTCACAGGGAGACCACTTGAGTCCAGGCTGCCGAACAGATGACACCGATCCATAAAATGAAGTTATATATTCTACGAGATACATCAGTGTTTCCTCCGTTTATTTGTCGAAATCTTTGCCTTTCCTACACTTTGAAGATGAGACTATGAGGCTAATAATAAATTTGAAGATGTTAAAATATCTATGCTTACGTAAAGTTTATGATGGCATAGAGATATGTGTATCAATAGAAAATTTGGAAATATTTCATTCGAAGAAGAAATAAATTATTTAATATCCTTACATTGTATAGTTCTTATTTCTAACAAAACTTCCTCTGTTCTAAACACATCAAAGATTCACACTCCTTACCCCACATAATTTATTTAGAATATTACAACCCTATCCTGACTGTTCTACAAAATAACATAGTAAGCTACAAGCATCCCACGCACTACTCATAAACAAAGCTGACAGAAATACTTACTGTACTTTAGTATAGAGACTGCTCTTTCAATAACTTCAAAACTGAATGAAATACATGTGATACTTTTCCATGACAACCTTACAAGTGTACTAAACTGTAATACTACATTATGAACTCTGGTCCATAAATACAGAAATCTTATCACAAATTATTTTGTCTTCCCCTTTTCTGTAAATTCGACTCTACTTACAAGTATTGTTTCCTTTTTTTTTTTAATTATTCAATCAAATTTGAACTTAATCGTGACTTATTCTCATTGCAAGGATCTTTCCTAAGTTGTCGCGCAATGCACTTATAGGCGTGCAACACGCGCAACGTATCCGAAGATAGTGGGGTCAGATGCGTTGGCCAAGAATAGACTTATCAGCCAGATAAATGTGACAACGAATGCGAGCTAGCTTTACCTGTACGACCCACGACGCGATCCAAAGCGCCCATTATTTCCTTTCGCTATCTACCGCAGATGCATCGCACTTACCAACTCGCCGCTCGCTGCACCGGATAGCCCGGTTGCATCTGTGCGCGAACGGATTTCGTGCCTGTTATCCCTTCCCGCATCTATCGCAGGACATTATCATAAACAGTCCGACCGACTCGAAAATAGGTTATCGGCTCGGCCTGGAAATTCGATTAGCAATTTCCCGGAGACGATATTCCTGCCTTGACGACCATTATTTGCTGAACACTGGATTCGTAAGCGCTTTCTTTCCGCTCTATAGATTCTTATTTAAAGTTTATACTGTTCGAGAATAATCATTATTACGAGCATTGAATTGTTATATCTAATCGTGGAAGTTTTTAAGCTTTAAAATTAATTTGCAATCAAACTTTTAATTGCTTTAAGAAAGTGTCACCTGAGATAAAGTTCAATTACAGGTAATTTACAGATAACAAGTCTCTCATTTGTAGCAACACATTCACTTAGTCGATGCAGCTGACAACTGGTTTCTCAACTTTCCTAATATCTTCTTTTCGATCAACTTTGCAGCCATTAATCCATAAAACATCGCTGTCATTCGAGCCTTTATGACTCATTATCGCGATTAATGACGCGCGGATTCAGTGAGGTATTAAAACAACTCGCTATCGTCCGCGACGATTAGTATATTTAATAATCAGAAGTATCATTAAATATGCGCGGCTTGTACGATTGCAATCGAAAGGGAACACGAGCAGGCAAATGCAGAATTCTGTTTCGCTCCTAATAAGAGGTTTAGGAATTCGTAGTCGACGGTCAAATATTCCAGTTATTCAGAATCAGAAAGGAACGACGTGCCGTAAAACCACGATGAGATAATTGATCGTGAATACTCTCGCTTTGCTATTAAAACACTAAATGCTTCTAACATTGTTGTCATTACTTACCTTGATCGTCGCGTGGTGGGATCTTTCATGACCATGACTTCTGTGATGTCCCCATACTTGGTGAAGTACTCCCTGAGGCTCTCTGAAACAATAAAACAATGTTCGTTAGTTTAGTGCCATTTCAATAAGTATCATAATCAGGCCCCAATAATTAAATTTAATTTATGTTATAAGTGTGCCACTTCAAAGTAGCGAATAAAAGATGGATACATAATATTCATCAAAATGTTAAAAGAGAAAAGAATGCAAGAACAATGAACTTCTCAATGAGTTCTGCTTTGCAGATGATTTATTGCTGTTGGTTATCTTCGCGAAAAGGGGGTCCATTTTCGGAACGCAGCCCGGCCGAGTCACCAATTACATGGAACATAATGAAACTACCAGACCATTTCGTGAATCATATGATACGAGGAAAATTTACGAGTGCCCGTTTCCTGTCGGTTATCGGCAACACCACGCTCATTACCTCTAACCTAAAGAATAATTTTAGCAAATCAGTCGCTTGTGGAGAGTTTTCGTTGAACCACTACTGGTATGCCATTGCCGGGGAACTGGATTTCAACAGTGAATAATCGCGAACCCCTTATCTGTTCCCCGTTCAGAATCGCGGACGTTCGCGAAACTGGCCAGACCTTTTGTGAATCAAAGTAGAAACGCCGAAGCACGCGAACGTAAATTCTTTATATGCTACGGAATGGACAACTAATTTCTGAGAATGGTAATTATTTCACCATTTTTTAGAACTTATTACATATGTAATAAGTTTATCCTTCATTTCTAAATTACTGTTAGAGACGATAGTTTCTCAATTTTTGATGCTGACGAAACATTTGCATTCACGCTGGGAAATATTGGACCGAATGCAATGTCGGGATTCGTTAATCCTAATTAGAATTATGAGATAACAATGTAAGTCGACGGCACCGAGCGTAATCCCTGCCATTTATGAACACGCTGCGTGCGTCCATGAGAGAGCTTTGGCTTAACTTAACACCGTAGAAAATTAATCGTGTCTGATAGGTTAAGCCGCGACCTGTAATTAAGAAATATCTCATATCGATTTTTGCTTGATACGAAATTTGTTCAATTCCTAACGCGGTGAAATTCGAGAATTTGTAGTGGAAATTCACGAGATATGTGAAAAATTTCATTCGAAAAGCGTACGAAGGGTGCAAATAATAACCTTGAACGAAAAAAGGGATGACGAATGGCGTGCAATTTTTTGATGTATGATGCTGGAAAATCAACGCACAGGTTGCCGTTCTACATCATGTGTTATGTACAAAACATTCTCTGTTAAAAATGTACCAACATTTCCGTGTCATTCGTTCTCTCATGGATTACAGTCACTCGTGGAAGTATTCATAAATTTCATAAAAAGGTCATTTAGTAATAAATATATTAGAAGTTATATTAATATTTTGCAGGGCATCCTTTCACCTGTGACATCACACGAACGTTTAACGACACGTGTAATAATTCTCAGAAAAATTTAATAAAATTCAGTAATTTATATCGTAATCAATTGTGAACATTGCCGAACACGTTCGCGCTATCCCTCGGAGGAGGCACCCTGTTGACCTCCTTTGTAGGTATATATCAAAAGGGTGAAGTCTGGCCGTAGGCCAACATGGACACGCTCCAAATATATATCTTACACCCTATCTAATTATACGCTATTTTATCCAGATCGTTGTGAAAAGCTCGTAATGCTCGGCAGTTACTTGCCTATTCGGTTGCGAACGGTCTTCGACTTCGATAAATTGCAGATACTCCATTGCGATATTCTAGTAGGAACAGTACCATGCATACATACGCGTTCAACTATTTTCCTTTGTTTATTTCGTTCGCGTTTAATGCTAAAAACAGGAGCAATCAGAAAAAGAAGAGTTTCACTTTATTTCTGCTCGAACGAAATCTTCAGGTTCGAACTCTCCTGTTTGAAAGGGCGAGTTTGAAGCACTCTCCAAATTACAATCAAGAAGTAATGAAACTTCCTATTAAGTTAATGTTTTTACAGATATTCGAAGGAAAAAAAAATTACATTTCCAGCCGTTGCTTTCAGAAAGCACTCGAGTAGTCTGTAATGAATTATCGGGGGTATTTTATTAAATTTGATTGTTATGTACTAATGGGGAAAGGAAAGAGAAGGCGAAGGGTGGCAAAGTGGAGTGCTTATTGTTTATTCAATAGATGGCGTTAATCAATGAATTATTGGTGTTCCCAGGTCATTAGCCGCTGAACACAACCTGTTTGGTAACGAGCTGTTCGCATAAATTACATCATCCTACGGAATTAATTAGTGATACTTAATTAGTATTCTCGGAAAATTAAGATGGCTCTTCTTTGCCGGTAACTAACGACTGGTACCTAACGATGTTGAAGATATATTTAGAATATGCAATCAAATTGTTTCCTTCTTTCTTTTCGTACAAAATATTAAAACAATAAAATACAAAATTTCCTTAGAAGAATATTAAACACAGCTGAGTGTAAAAACATTAAAGCAACCTCTAGCGGAGAAGAATCCCAAGAAACAGAGGAAAAATGGATTTTCACTTTGTCATTTTTTCTCTGTGTTTCTTCTATCTACGATTTTATTTTGCATTTTTATCGAGTTCCACGACGAAAGACTGTTCGTTTTTCTAGACTATGAAAATGTCGTTAAACTCGAGAAGGTCAGGACGTTCAAGGATGCTCTTTTAATTTGTCTCGGATGCGGATTGATGGAAGCAATTACGTCGTTCCCGAGGAGACAATTTTAAAACGTTACCGTGACTCACGAAAATATACGAGCATTATTTCCTTAATTGTTCCCGGGTAAAACTTATTTTTCACGCGGGGATTCTCCATCGATGCACTCTTTCTTGTACCGTTCTATTCGACGCCATGAATCTAAAGGAAAAGCATCGTACTTCTTCTTCCACGAAGGTATTTTCATTATTACCGAAACAACAGTTCTTCTAATCGATCTTTGATGTTAACGAGTGTAGTTTTAAAAAAAAATTTTTACCTCGTAATTCATGCATTTAAATGTGAATAAATGAAAAACTTTAAATCCACATCTACTTCAAGATACAACAGATCAAACATCCCTTACACAACTTGTTACGATCATAAAAAATCGTCTGCACACAGAAGCTCTTAACTCAATTCCATTCTTGAAACCCGGAACGTTTACGCGTTATTCAAGATAATCTCACGAGATCCCTATCCGTTTAATCTCTGCTGCTCAGACAATTTTCAGTTACAAACCTCTCCATCCACCGCGATCGCAATGCAACACAGTCGCCGAAGCTCATCATCCCACAAACCAGATCACCTCATCCTGGACTCGATCTTTAAACCGTTTAGCGATCGTCCGATCTCTTTCTCTCCTTCTGCACGCGGCACGGCGATCAGAGGATGAAAGAAAGCCACAGGTGTTCCCGACAAGCGACACGTTCGCTTAGCGATCGCATTCGCGTAGAAAACGATTTGCAATCGTTAATCTGGCGAGCATTAGCTACTCGTTCGGTACACTCGACGGATATAAATAACCGAGGGAATTATTTTATCAACGGAGAAGAGGAGACGATAACGAGCAGCAAAAGGAAACGATGAAACACGTCGGAGAGAAACGAGCTAGAGGCTTTTCCGCTTGTACCGCGATTACCGAAGATAAAGTCAATCGCGTTACTTCGCGAAACACCTGACGCGCTCAACCATCGCCTGGGTTAGCCGGTGGATTCGTCAACATCTATCAGGCCTATCGTGTTTCCCGGCAATGAAATCCTTGAAATGGATGAAAGAGAGAGAGAGAGTAGCGCACGTCGAAATCGTAAATCCGCGAAGCGAGGCAACCGGCTGGACGAGCCAAATGGTACCAATTTACTTGAACGGCAGAATTATGCGAAAGGATGGACCACTTAAATATTTTAGGACTCCGTGACCCGTTAACTGTTCTCTATCGGGCTAATTTTATAAATAGACACGCGGTATCGAAAGACACTCGCGTTGTTAATTTCGCTAAGTTACTGAAGAATTTAAAACGCGTTTAGCAGCTCATAAACAGCAATGATCCGCTATTTATGAGAACTCGAATGTCGAGGGTTTCGATTCTATCCCGGTTACACTGTCACGAAAATACAGTCGCGTGTCGACCGATCGTTTCTCTTCCACCCCCTTTTTTTAATGCTTTTTATCCGCGATACGGAACGAATTACTTTGCCCAGAAAGTGCCTTTTCCGATCCGTGATTCTTCGCGTGCTCATAGTCCGGACGAAATAATTCAGCAAGCTCTCGGTTTTCGAGCGCTCCTCTTCGCGAGAATCACGGGCAAAGATTGCGCGCCGCGCTGAAATATTCAAATCCAGAGAGTTGCCGTGCTTCTCTGGCCGCGCTTCCCGCCAGCAATCCCACGGGAATACTACGTATCTGTCCCGAACGGATCCCCGAGGCGAGCGCGATGCCTTTGTTCCCCGTGAATTTTTCTCTTATTAAAAAGGTGTAATTTGACGAACAACGGGTCGGTTTAAGGAAATTACGTGGCACGGATTTAGATAAGAACGTTTTAATATTTCAACGGGAAAGACTGAAGGAGATGCCTAAATTTTCTTCATTGCAGTTACGAGTGCAAATGAACAGTTATAATTTTTCTTAAATTTTAGTATCTCCTTTTATTTAAGAAAAAATCATTTTGATATACTATCATACGTCATAAATGCATAAATATCTTCGGTTCAGTGATCGCAATTCTGATTATATTGAAAGGCTCTTGTAAAGTTTTATCGTATGATATTCGACTCCAATTGACTGTACACGACCCAATTCAGCCATCGCGTTTCACAAGATATATGCTCGTATTCCCGCGAATGTATTCCTCGTAAATCATCGATAACAATATTTCGCCGGAAAATTCACCTGTCGTAAGCGTATAACAAAGGGTCACGCATGATTCCCACTTTGCCGGTTATCAATCCTGAATCGAGCCAGGGAATACGTAAAACGGTGCTATCGCTTTCTCCATTCGTACACAATGGATATGTTGAAGAAAAGGGGTAGGTACTGGCGTTATTTCACGTCGCCTCCACACTCGGGCGC